CAGGAATGCTTGTGTTTAGTTTGTTACTTTCAAAATTATATGAAATGGAAGAAAACTTGTACTATGTTTTTTTTTTCTTTAATGTTTTGTAGTACGAGATTGAGTGAGTCAGAAGTATCGACTTGAAGTCACCTTGAAAGTTTTCATTGTAGCAAAGAATAGAACTAGTCCCTTGCCTGTTATTGCAAATGCAGTAATTGGAACTTCCCGCAAAGCACTGCTGTAGGAAGTTGCACAGTTTTTCAGCAGAGGATTGCAACAGAAATGCTCTGCAGGCTGTGTTGTAAGACACGTGTACTTCTAAAAAATTACATACCTTTACTGCAGAGAGCAAAAGACTAATCTTTTTTTAAATACTTGTGGTGTTTACATCATATCAAGATGAATGTTTAATGCAGACAGTCTTTTGATAACTGTTATAAAGACATTTGGAGAAACTCTGGGGTTTCTTCCTGATTGCTTCCTTAGAACAGAGCAAGAGATTAAGGGTAATGTGCAGAGCATAAGCAAGATGAGGTGTAGTTAGAGGCAAGATTACTTATTACTTATTCCCACCAATTACTATAAGCGTGGGGGGTTTTGGAGGGTGGGAGGGGCACAATAGAGAAGCTTTTAGACACACGACTTTTGAAATGGAAGCAACAAACTTCTAGGCTAAATGCAAGTTGAGGACAATTTTTAAGCTCAGAGAAGCTGTTGTAAACTTATGTTTAGCTTTGAAGCTTGTTGCTTCTATCTCGGATCTAAAGGATCTCAAAAACTTGTCTCTTCTTTTCCCCTTTACCTACAAACGCGGCCATCGCCTGTTTTCGATAGCATACAACAGCAGTGCTCTCATGATGGAGAACATAGCATTTTGCTAGATGTCCTTTAGTTAGCTGGAGCTAATTTCTCTTGCTGTATTCTAGACATGCATTTTGACTGGCTCATCAGTTTTCCCAGACAGGGAAAGTGCTTCCTACTTTGGTAGTAATTGTGAAAGAGATGAGGGTGTGAGGAGATAATAGTTGCAAACAAATTGCACTAGCAGCCAAGTAATGTTCAGCCTGGACTTAGAATCATAGAATCGTTTAGGTTGGAAAATACTTTTAAGATCATCCAGTCCAACCATTAACCTAACACTACCAAGTCCACCACTAAACCAATTAAGGGTAGAGTAGCAATTTCATGTTTCCTGGCTTGGCGGCTGGATTATTTATAATGAAAGTAAAAACTAAGAATCATTGAGATTGGAAAGGACCTCTAAGATCATCAGTCCAACCATCAACACAACACCACTGTGCCCACTAAACCATGTCCCAAAGTGCCACATCTACCTGTTTCTGCTGCCGTTGAGAGGAACGTGAGGGTGTGTCCCTCAAATCATTCAATCATTAACTATCCGGAAGGTGTATATTTCTTTTGCAATGTATGCACAGCGTGATAATTGGAGAAGGTCTCTGGAAATTCCTGCCAGATAGTTTAGCTCCTCAGAACAGCTATAAAAGCTTTGAAGTTTACTAGTGTCATCGATGGTGATTATTTCCTTTGAGTCGGTTCTGAAAAAGAATGGTAAAAATTATTCACAGTAATCTAGAGGTGAACTGAAAGCTTTTGGGGGAAGAGTTGCTGGAAAAAATGGATGGCACAGTTACTTTAGGAATGTTTAGAATAGTCTGTCTCTTTCACTTGCATTAAGGGAAACTTTATAATTTAAACCAGAATCATAAACTAAACATGTTTTTGTAATACAGAAAGACCTGGTCCACGTGGATGTTTTGGCTAGGTACACAATTAGAAGACAGAGGACCTCCTTTTGAGGTCCAGCTGTGGTAATACAAGAGATTGTAGGTTCCTGCTGCAAGATCATTAGTGAAGTCCAGTGGTTTTAATTGCTTAAGACAATCCATCAGTCCCTTGCTTGAAGCAGTCTAGTAATTACTCAGGTTGACTGCTGTTAGGTCAGGGAGATGCTGGCTTTTGGTGAGAAGTAATGCTGGGCAGCTGGGACTGGTGGTCTTCAGGCAAGCCAGCTGGACCTAGAGCAGGACAGTTACCAGTACACCTGCAGAGAAGCCAGGCTTGCTGTCTTTGCACCAGGCTATGGATGGGTGCTCACTTTGCAAACAGATCAGTGACTGAAGATGTTACTACTTTCCTTCTGCCCAAAGCACCAATTTTCTCCAGACAAAATCAGCTGGCTGATGGTTTCAGTAAGTGGATTGACCTATTTTAACTAATGTTTTGCCTGAAGGGAATTGAGGAACTTTCAGTTCACCCCACCTGGCAGCTGAGAAGGCAGCCCCTTGTAGGGGAGCACTGTGGAGAAGCAGCAGGGTTGTAACGTTCTAAACTGCATCTTCATCAGGCAATTTATTACATAAAACGACTGTGATATTTAAGGTGCTCTAGCCCTAAGTGCTCTGTTAGAAAAAGGGATTGTGTAAAGATATCCCATCTGTTTTGGTGCTACTTGGCTCAAATTGCCTGCTGAAAGCTGTGTGCACCAGCTGCCCCAAAGTAGATGAGATGCACTGACACAATCCATTCAGATGGTCCAGCCACAGGAGCAGTGAACTCCGGGGAGAAAGCAAGCACCTGGGCAGTAAGCCTTAAACTGCCGCAACTGTTTCTTCTGTGAGTTTTGTTAACTGCGGTAAAGCAGTGCAGCTTTTGCTTGCTGCTGTAAAATGCTAGCTGGGTCTTAAAGCTGCTTCTTGCTTCCCTAAAGAGCCAACCCTCTTCAGTAGCAGGTGCTTCAGTACCTGATAAAAGCAATCTCTCCCTCTTCCTCATTCAGTGGCATTAAATGTTCCAGCAATTCTAGTTCTTGCGGCCCTCTTCCCCAAGAGGGTTCTGCTGCTATGGAGACGTGATAACAGTTTTTAGATTTGAGTACTGTTTTAAGCAAAGCTAGCTTACTGTTCAGCACGTCCAGTGCTGCATTGCTTCACGGAGTACTTGTGGTCTTCCTGGCTTTATTTTGCCCAGCTCCTTAATCTGCCAGTGGATTCTCAGCAGCTGAGTTAACTCAGGACAATTAAAGAAATTAGAGCAAGAAAAGTTGTCTCTGCTAAGTGGGCTGAGTTTAGGGCATGGAAAATCCTTTATCACCTAATTCCCCATTGACTATGTGGAGCGGTTGTCAGACATCGGGCAGCTTTTCTATTGGGCTGTGCTTTGTGATGCAGTTACCAGCTCGTGAAAGTGGGACAATAAATGGGAACTGTTCTGGCAAAGGCAGCTGAGCTACTTATTTTCAATAAAAGGCAATAGTGGGTGTCAGTCCAGGATATAGATTAGTGCAAAACTTAGTCTGTAGTCTTAATTTTTTTTTTAATTTCTCTGTTGCTGTAACACATACAGAATATTTTCTTTAGTAATTAAACTCTACTATAGTAAGGCATTAAAAACTCAGGTGCCTGGAGCTAAGTGGTTTGCATGTGTGCTAGGTATTGTACAGACAGATGAAAAATCCCTGACTGCTCACTTTGCAAGACACTGCAGAAGAAGGAATTAAGCAGACAATCTCTACAATAGCCTGTCTTTTTCTTGCCTTGCTTGGAGGACAGTTGGAAGCTGTGTTTGTATCTGGGGGTGGCATGGGAGAGAGTCTCAGAAGTTTATTGTACCACCTTCTGGAACAATGTAGGAATAAAGGAAAATGGTCCTTCAGCTGTGTAAGCAGCTGCAGGTCTTTTCTTTATGCTGGGCTAGATGAGCTTGACTAGTTTATCCTACTTTTGGATTGATTTTAATTGTTTATGGGACAAAAAGTACTTACTTTAATGACTCTTTAAATTGGCAGTCTTTTTTGTTCCTTGGTCTTCTCAAGGACTCTGAAAATGTAATAAAACAAATTGCCTGTATGTCCTACTTTTGTTTTGCTACCCATGCGAAACCCCAGGAAGATCATCTACCCAACCACCAGTGATCATCAGTCTGAACTGCGTGCTGCATAGCTAGGTTACAGTGACTCTTGCCTCCTACAGTGGATGAATCAGTTCTTCAGGGTACATTTGATAGCAGTGATGCTCCTCCGAGACCTTTAGCTTTTCCTAGTGAAAAGCTGGCATGGGTTGATAGGCTGTTTTGATAATGTGACAAATATACTAATGAAGTGCACTCTTTTTAACTTAAGCCTGTTCCCCTTGACACCCGGACTTACTCTGGCTTTCATTCATCAAAACAAAAGTGTGAACATGTAACATAAAAAGCACTCACTTTTTTTTTTTATGGGGGAGCATCTGATTGTAGAATTCAGAGTGGGACAGAACACGATCTAAAGTAACTTGGAAAATCTTTGCATCGCTAATTACAGTAATACTGCATGCTCTTAAAAATGTCCCACGCTGCCCCCATCTATTTAGATTTTACAAAGAAGTTGGTCGCAAATGTAAACATACATTACATGTTCATCTTATTTTATTTGTCCCATTGACCTCAGTAGGCTTCCTTCTATAAAAATTTGCAGCATACAGATATTTCTTAAATTAAATATTCCTTTTAAAGGCTTATGATTCTGTTACCACAGAACAAAACTATTTTTGAGGGCAATAGTGACAACTAAATGGTTTTATCAGTAACCAGAGCTCAGAATGCAACAGTAAACTTTTAATTTGAGGTGTCTACAGTGGCATTTCAAAAGCATTGAAATAACTCATACACAATTCTCATTAACTTCAAAGTATAGACTCCAGGTGATGATGTAGCTGAAACAGCTTTGGTTTTCTTCCCAAACTGTGGTGTTGATTAAACCACTCAGTGTTACTTGTTTGGTCAATACTAGACTTGCAACTGTCTTGTCTCAGCCTTTAATATTCTTGCAGCAATTGTGTTGGAGGTCCTGGTTCTCTCAGCATAAATATGCTGTGCATAGAATCTCAGTTTCTGGTGTAACTGAAAGAACAAAAATAAGAATAGTATATTCCAATATCTTTAAATTAGGGAGATTAGGAAAGTAGAAAAGGACACACTGCATTTTAAAAACATCTTAAACTTGTCCTTTCCCAGCTTGCCTCTGATCTCTTTGGTCTGATGGAATTAACTAATTTTTGTTGTCTTCTCCAGATTTCAATTTAAAAATAGGTGGGAAGTGCTTGGTAAACTTAGAAGCAAAGTGTTTAGGTCAAGGTGGAATTGGGAAAGAAAATGTGATCAAGTTGCTTTTATGTTGCTTTGGAAAGTAGCTAATATTCAAATTTTACAGTTTATTTGAAGTGAAACTTCTGAGTTGATTTCTCTCCCCCCATTCCCAACTCAGTTTTGGAGCCTTTCTTCAACTTACCTAGCTACATTCATACTCGGTGTCTCCAATCTGCTGCGGTGGCCACTAACAATAAAGCTAGGAACCTAGTGTGTTGAAAAGCAGAAGGGGGGAAATAATAACTAGTAATCTAAATCACTGACTTTAGCTGTTTGTCAATTATTTTTCACTTTAAAAGAAAAATGATCTTGTTCAAGACAAATAGCTTTGCCCTATGTCAGTATGATACCTTCCCAACACTACTGTGCTGATAGTCTGCAGAGCAGACCATAGTCTGACATTTTGAAATTCCCAAGGTTGAGTGGGAAGAAAGAAGGAACTAGAACTTATGGAAGCCAGAATGACAGATCTCATCCTTAGTTTCCTGGGCATACAGTGGTTTCTCCTACTTCCACTAGCATACTCCTTAAATTTCTGTATCAGGCTGTGGTATCACCTTGGTGGGGGAAGGATTAACTTTTCTCTCAAATTTCATTGTTCTTACACAGTTCTAAATTCAGGTGGCAAGGAGATTCATGAATGTGTATACAGACTGCTGAATTTTAAGGGCTTTTTCACTGACAAGGTGCCCACAATCCTTTCCTGTTCTACTTCATATGATGGATGAATTTTGTTTTTCATTGTTATTGTTGCACTCTTTTATGGTGGGGTGGCTGCTATATTAACTTTTAATGCCTCTCATATCCATGATACCTGAACAGGTTCAAAGATGGAAAATCCATTTTTAAATGTGTTAAAAAGACACTTAAGCTGCTAATAGTACAGAAAGTTGCCAGGTTTTTAATACACTGGAGACACTTTGGATGGAATTGCTATCCTAAATGGGTAGCAGGATCTTACTTCCTTTTAAAATAACTTTCTACTGCAATGCTTGTTTTAATTGGTTTTGGCTTTGATGAGAATACTCTGAAGCCATATGGCATGCTAATATCTTGTCAATTGGTCTGTGTTGGTAAAGGAGGACCCTTGTAGAGGCAGTGGAAGGATAACTGAAGCAAGAATCAATTGTGGCATAGATGCCCCCAAGAACAAAGAGGAAAAACATAACTACAGAGTACTTTTAAGTAGCTATGGGTTTGGATTTTGCAGCAGGGATGTTCTTTAAGCTGTACTGGAAATTTACTGCTGGTGATTGTCTGTTGCTAGCTCTTGAACAAGGAGTGGCTGGTAGATAGGTAATTTTTGGCTTGGTAAACCAACGGTGTGAATTTAAGAAGGCTTAATTGCTTTCTTAAGTTTGCAGCAAAGTAACGCTGTTGCTTCATTACTGATAGATCTAATCCTGGGAATCAAATCTGATATTGGATGCTTTTTACGAAAGATGGGTGAATAGAGTGAGATCCTACAAAAGGACAGCACTTTGTAGCTACTGGTGAAAATTGAGTCATTCTAGAAGACTACTGCTGTTCCAGTAGGCTGGTAAATACAATTTAGAAAAAGGTGCAGCTTTGCTTAGCTATTTTGAATCTGAAAATGTATGCTCTCTCCTAACCTCATAGGAGTTATTTATGTTAATCACTTGGTTACAGTGTACTTCTCCTAGCCTTTCAGTGACCTTAGCTAATGAGGCCCTCCAAGACAGTAAGGAACAAAGAAATTCTGAAGCAGCGAGGGCAAAGGTGGTGTTGCCTGAGGGTTTTTAACGTCTTCCTTTTTGTAGTATGTGCATTTAGCTTCCATACCCAAAGGAGGTTTTTTTTCTTCCAATGCTGGATCTTTCTTTGCCATATTTTCCCCATACTGCTTGCTTTCTTCACACTTGACTGAATACCCTTCAGCGAACTGCTTCTGTTTATTGTCAGAAAAGCTATCTGTAATCCTAGTGGGTTTATAATCTTGGTTTTGGCATCAATACTATAAAAACAATTACAAACAAACAAAACCATAAAAAGGATATAGGAATATGATGACCAGTCTGTTGGCTTCTTTCCTACTTGTATCACTGTACTTTCCCATCCTTCTTTAAAAAACATCTCTTATCATTAGACTGTCTGGTTTTGGGAGTGTTCTTTGCCTTTTGTACACTCAATCATATCATAATGATAAATCTTATCTGAAAACCCTCTTTTCTGGCAGGTAAATTTGAAGAAAAAGAAGATAAAGTTCCAAAGTTGGAGCACTTAAATAACCTGGCATACATGTGCAATGTGAATGTGGTATTGAACAAGAAAGATTTGCTTAGAATGGAAATGCTGCTTTTGGAAAACTTCAATTGGAACCTCTGTCTACCAACACCAGCACACTACATTGACTACTACCTCTGTGCGTCCATTGGCGAGAATGACCTTCACAATGGCTGGCCGATCACCTCACTGACCAAAATCAAAACTTTTCTGGAGAAATATACATATTATTTCCTTGATTTCTCAGTGCAAGGTAAAAGGCTTAGTTTTATGCTAGAATGATCTTCCATTTGGCAAAAGACAAAAATCTGAAAGATACAAGGGCTTTAAAACTTGTTGTAATACGGATTGCGCAAAATTATCTGTGCAGGATTGTTTCTCTTTGTGGTTATTTCAGACAGCAAATGGTATGGTATCCTTTCCTTGTGCATAAGCCTCTTGTTTCTTTTCAGAAATCTCTAGATGAGATCAATTTTTTCCTTCAGCTTAGAACACTAATTGGAGAGACTGTCAGAGATGGGGCCTAATGTTTGATTTGTCACAGAGTATGAACTACTGTCAGCTGCAGACGTGGTATGCAGTTCAATGTATGAATCTTTTTAAATTATAGTTTTGAGGGTCCTGTGCTGCAAGACATGACATATTTAGAATGACAAGACTTTAGTGATTTGGTTTGCAGCATCGCTTCCAATATCTGCCCATGTGAGAGGCAATGAACTGCAGCATCCTCATAAGCCTGTTTCAGCACTAATGTAAATACGTGTGTGATTGTCGATACTGAACTTTGGTTCAGTTGAGACTGGTCTACAAATTTCAGCATAGTCTATCTCATGGCTTTTTCTGAAATGAAAGAAACTATAGTGTAGCCTTGATAGTAGTTACAAATGAGTAGTATAGAGATCTTCAGGAAAGCTTCATCCAGTTTTTGAGACTTTTTCTGGCCAGGAGTTAATACGCTGAGATGTGTGGAACAAAGCTGAGGATTTAACTTTGTCCTGTTTTGCCATGTATACACATAATAGGCTCACTGCAGTGATTAGTAAGAGTATAATCCTTGCTTTTTTCGGTGGTGTGTTGTTTTTTTTTTTTTTTTTGTAGATCACACTTTCCTCCATTTTCGTCCGTCTCTGATTGCTGCAGCTTGTGTGTGCGCCTCGCGTATCTGTATGCAGATTTCTCCTGCCTGGACAACGCAGCTTGAATTGCTAACATGTTATTCCTGGGAACATCTTGCCCAATGCATTGAAATGATGCTCATGTAAGACCAGAAAGAATGTAACCTGCTAGTGCTCTTAAGAAGATGTTAATACTTTTTTAAATTCTTTTTTTCTTTTTTCTTTAAGTAATTGTTTAGCTATAATTACCAATGTGATACTGTACTCTTAATCTCTATCTTCAATTTGGGGAGAGGAATAAAAGGGAAAAATCAGATCACTTTACTAAATACTGTATTTTAACAATATTTGCAATGTGGAATGGAGTGCACAATTTGACGTTCATTATGTTTTCTTGTACTTGTGGCTTATGTGATTGGATGGAAGCTTTTACAGATGGTTGATGAAAGCTTTTTTCCCTTTGTTTTCTCATTGTGCCTGCAATATACTTGCTGCAGAGAGACATCAGTGTATCTCTAACATTAAGAATACAATAGGGAGACATTTCAGAACTATTCTTTGTTTTTTTCATCCAGTAAAGGAGATGACTGTGATGTATCAATACTGGTCTGGTATGTGAGCATGTACAGTCTTAACAGAAAATAAAACAAGTTTAGTAGAATGATTTAGATTGGGAGCGATGGTGGACCTCGGAGGTAACTTCTGAATCCCTACTTAAAGCGGGGCCAACTGAAGTTAAATCAGACTGCTTAGGGTGTTGTCTAGTCAAGTTTTGACTATCTCCAAGGACAGAGACTTCCAAACCTCTCTGAGCAACTTGTTCCAGTGCTTCATCATTCTCATGATAATCCAAAGTGTTTCTTCCTAATATCTAACAGGAATTTCCCTTGTTCCCTTATAGCTATGTACTTTAATACTTTAATACTCTGCAAATACTTACACAGACTATTTTAAAATGTCTTTCTGTTGTGGGCTGAAGGTTCCAAGATAACTAGTCCATCATGGTTGACGTGGATGGACAAAAACATACTTGTGATGCAAAATGATCCATAAACCTGTTGTTAGCGTGTGAATGTTGCAGCAGGATAATGAGAAATTAATTAATTGTGAAAGCAGCTGAGGCTTACTATATACAGCTAGGGCCAAAAAGCTGATGATGTAGCCTGACTGGTGAAAACTTTGGGATATATGCAAGTGCGGAGAATTTCTCTCTTTGATAAATCTTACTTATAATTTGTTTCAGATATTATCAGAATGACATCAAAGAAGCCAGTAACATAAAAAAGCAAGTAACAATTCAACATCAAGAAGAGGAAGCAGTGGGAAATCTGAGCAATCAAGCCACTACTCAAGTTCTCTTCCAGCAATCTAGTTACCACCCTTTAGCCCAGCATTCCGCTACGCTTTCCCAGTTCCAGTCGCCAGTGCAAGATCTGTGCTCTGCTTATCGTGACTCCTTACAGGCCCACGGGCCCAGCGGTCTGCTTGCTGGGAGTGCTGACGGCTCGCTGCACTCCTACACAGCTCTTCAGGTCAGCCTTCGGCCACCTGCCCAGCCTGTGCCCATCCAAAGGCCCATTGCTGTGCAGGTGGCCTTACAAACAGAGCCCAGACACTGCGTTTCCCCAGCTTATGGCAGTAGTTACTTCAGTGGTCATCACTCATATGCAGCTGGGTGTTTTGATGGATAAATGTTGATGGGAGAAAAAGGTTATATGAGCAGACGCTGAAGAAGAAACCCTGTGTGTGATACAAGATGTGTATCTGAATGAAGCCCACTAAGGAACAGAATCCTTATGACTCGCTCGTTGGAGGACGTTGATCTGGATCCACTGATCACGGGAACCTGGGTGCCTTTCTGCCAAGGGTTGTACCTTTGGTTCTTAATGAGAGGGAGAAATAGAAATTCATTAAAATACCTCACTCAGTGTTGCTTTGAGAGGCATATGTGTAGGAACCCTGTGGAGATTACTTCCTTCTAGTCTTCAGTTAGTGACTCATCAGAGTTGGCTGAAAGCTTCTGTTGAAGAGTTATTTCAGGCTGGAGCACTGGTTGAATTTCTGGCCAAGTAGCAATATACATAGAGGATGTTGTCGGAAAACATGGAGTGCTCTCCTTCTCTCTCAGTGATGTGTTGCTTGAGCGCTGGCAGTTTATACTACTGGAAGCTTCTACTAAAATATACTGAAATTGGTATCAGTTAAATGTGAACTTTGTTTATGCCGAAATCTCTGTGAAGAATACTTTCCATTTTCTTTGAGTGGGAGTGATAGTTCAGGAGTAAGACTTTAGAATAAAAGGTAAAAAAGAAAAATGGGTCAGAAGACTATCAAATAATTTTTGACTTAAAATTCTCTTGGAATCTAAATGTGGTGCTGCTGAACGGAACATCACTCTGCCTTTAAGTATTTTAGAAACAAAAACAAAACCTTAAATCATCTCTTAAATCTTGAACATGCTGCTGCTTTTGAGACTGGAGATTATTGTTAGTAAAACTGTTCATGAGCTTTATCAGGGATTTAATGTTACTTGAAGAAATCCTCTTGGAAAAACTCTTGAAGGGGTCACTGCCTTCAGTTATTTCATCTTTTGGGCTCAATGACTTGTGGCAGTAGTTCAGGCTGAGGACAGAGGAACTGGTGTTAATGGGGGCAAAGATAGGGAACTGGTTAACTTTACTGTGAAATTAGAGTTTGATTGCAGTGCTAGACAATGCTGACTTAGTTTTTTACATACCATCTTGGCATGATTCTCTTAGAAAATGTAGCCGGTAAATTGAAAATCCTGTTGCTTCTTTGCAATGAGACACACACCTACTGCCACCTATCCAAAGGTTTCTTTTTCAGTTGAAACCAGCCATGATGGTTCAAAAAACTGTACAGGCTTCTTTTATGTTAATGTAGATATATTACAAGAAATGGACTTCTGCAAATGTGAAACTTTAGTTTTGATATATGCAACCACTATTGTAAATTTCTTTGAAGGCAGTACTCTTGGTTTGTCTTCTCTCTGAAGGTTCTCAGGACAGCCATACAAGTAATGTGCAATATGCTTTTACTGACTTGGGGCAATTTTTTCAGGTCACGTGTCACAGTGCTGTTTTAAATTCTATTTTTAGAGAATTCTTTTTAAGGGTGTTTTAGGGTGGAGGGGAAAAATTAGCATGCATGCTAATGCGTGTTTGTGTGACTGTCTTCCAAGAATGCAACTTTTGGTATCAAGTTAATAATTTCTTCTATTCAGCAGGCTAGAGGAATCTTCTTGTTTTAATTTTTTAAAAAATGCAAATTGTAAATGAAGAGGCAGTACTCTTCAGAAATTAGTCTAGATGTTTAGAGAACTCAGTCCATCTTTCATTCTGTTGGCTTTGTATTTATGTTAAACTTTATTTTCAGAAGGCTTTAGTGTATTTTTTATTATGTCATTCGGCAGACGTAAAGAACAACATATATGTGGCAGTACTGTTGTATGGTTTTTCTTTGGTTTGTTTTATCATCCTTATAATTTGCGTCATGTGCAGTGTGATGCTTTGGACAGCCATTGTGCTTAATTGTGAAAATACTTGCTAAGTTCCCAATGAAAGTTTTCAATAAACAAGCACACAGCTGATGTACCCTCTTTTTTTTTTCTTAGTGGTTTCTCCTTAGCTTTTAAGAGCTAATGAAAAAATATATGCCTAGACCTTAACAATACTTGATCTGAGCTCATAATATTTTACAGAAGAGTGTAGGACAAATGTGATGGAAAGGCCTTGCCAAATAATACATTGTGAAGGATTAGGCATATCAGGAACTTGGTCACTGCACAAGAAATAAGGTCCTATTCCAATAAAGTATTGATGTATATAAGGAAGTACAAAGTGGGATGAGGAGATGGCTGAAGAAACAGGCAGAAAAGGTAGGGACATAAAATAATATGAGAACAGATTGTTCCAGCTCATGTGGCCAGTGTGTCTTGGGGGTGCCATCTTACCTGAGGAGATTGAAAGGCTGAACAGGAGAACACAAGTGTATGTTCAGTCTTTCTTCTGGTGACTGTCTTTTAAGCAAGAATTGTCCATGAGTTCTAGATTCTGTTTGTGCAGTTGTATCATGGGTGGAGTTGGGGCAGATTAAGTCCAATGGCAGAGTCTCAAAGGGAACAGATCTATGAGAATTTGAGTTGGCCTAATACTGCTTCAGTTGACAGTTTTCTCCAGAATGCTTTAAATGTTGGTGGCAATTCCACATGTTTAATTTCCAGGTAAATACTTTTCATGTGACTGTAGCTTTTTTTTTTTCTTTTGTGAAAACATACCTCCTCAGAAGGAGTGAATGTAGAAGAGTTCAGCCAACCTAAAGAGACTTTTCTGAGGACTTTTTGCCACAATTACTTTTGGAGGGAGCTGCAGAGGTGCATGCAAAGCTGAGTTAAGTTTTAAACATAAAGGATGCAAAACTTCCCACCCTGTGCTTGTGCTGTTTGATGCTGTCAGTTGCAGCATAGTCATAGATCAGAATTTTTACATGCTGATTAACCTGTACTCCCTTGGCAGACTTTGAAGTAAGAAAAGCTACTGCAAAAGCAAATGCAGTGAAACATGGCTAGGAATACAAAATGGGGTACGGCACTGCTTACCCCCTTACATGGGAGGACGTTGCGGATGTAACCAAACAAATGAGAAAGCCGACATTAAAATTCAAAAACTGTATTGGTGAGTCCTGACAAGAGCTGCAGCAGGGATATAGGTGGAAAAAAGTCTGCTAATGTTGATCAGGCATCAAAGGTTAAAATGAACTTACTTTAAAAAAAAAAAAAAAAAGTCTTGTCTCTGCAGCTTGCTGCTTTTTTAAACAGCAAAGGGAAACCACCATCTCCCTATTTGTGAGGAAGCAACAACTTGGTGTTTGCAAAGTTGTCAAAGCCACTGTTTGATCCTTTTGATTTAGCAATTTTTACACACTGGAGCGAGTAAGTTAAAGTTGATATAATGCTCTTTGATCAGTATAATCAACTCACCAGTAAAGTGTACAGATGTTGCTTAATAAAATTTAGCTTAGTGCTATTTTTTACTGAGAAATCTAGATACTAGCAAATTTGGGCCAAACGCTGATGGATTCTTAGTGATAATTTTGCACAAGTTGTTGTGGTTTGTTTGGGTTCTCCCCCTCCCCCT